GGCGGTCGCTCAGGTTTGTTGACTTAAGGTAAAGTAGCAGTGCTTTAGTTGCTTTCTGCGCAACTGAGGCAGATGTCCAAGGTCCTAGTATCTTCTGCACACAAAATGGTCGGGGGTCAAGTCGATTCAAAACCATCCGGAGCTGGCATCGCTGTGTGTCGTAGCAAGCGCAGCTGCACAGGACGTGTTCGATGGTCTCTTCAGCTCCGCAGTAGTCGCATGTAGGAGTGTCTGCCATACCAATGCGAAAGGAGTACACCTTTGTAAATGCAACACCCAACCAAAGGCGGCATAACAGTGTCGCATCGGAGCGGGAAAGTTGTGATGGTAGCTTTAGCTTGAGCGAAGGATCCACTTCATAAAATTGACACCTTTGGAAGCTGGTAGACGACCAGAACGTGCGTGTGAGATCTCGAGCCAGCAGGTAAAGTTGTCTTGCTGCATCATTCCTTGATAGAGGAATCGCGACTACACGGGTTTCTTCATGGGCTGAGCGGGCTGCATCATCGGCTAATTGATTTCCGGTAATACCGATATGTCTAGGCAGCCATTGATATATAATATCATGCCCTCGTGCTAGAGCTTCATGATGGCAATGTCTTATTTCTTGTACCAGTTGGTCATGACTCCTCCTACGCATGGCAGACCGCAAACTCTGAAGCGCTACCTTCGAATCACAGAATATGACCCATTTTCCTGGACATTCTTGAACGAGATATTGTAAAGCAGCCCTTATAGCAGCAAGCTCTGATGCCGTAGATGTAGTCATATGCGACAACTTAAACTTGATTGTCATTTCTGCAGCCGGAATCACAGCGGCACCTGATGAGCTGTTGGATGAGACGGACCCATCAGTGTATATCTGCGTTCGGTCTAAGTACAACTCATGTAATAATAGCAGTGTTGCTTGCTTCAATGCTACTCTGGAGTGACTGCTTTTCTTTTTGATTCCCGGAATTTCTAGACGTACTTGCGGCTGGTCGAGGCACCACAAAGGACATGCCGTTCTCGCAGCTGGCGTATATCCTGATGGAATGCTGCTTAGGTGCTTGGCTATGACGTCTGAAAACGTAGCACGTGGTCTTCCGGAAGGTAGAAGGGCCAAGTGGTGGTCGGGGACACGGCTAGCATGTCGAATGTGCGCTCTGAGGCAATCCACAACTATATATGTCCTGACCGGATTGTCTTTGGCAAGCATGATTGTGGCATAAGTAGAAGCGCATCGGGGCAGTCCTAGGCAGATACGCAGTGCCTGACCCTGCAAACTCTCCAATGAATGAGTATTCGATTTGCAAGTGTTAGTCAGTACCGGCAAGCTGTAGCGCAATAGACCCAGAAATAGGGTCCTGTACAGCTGTAGCATGGAGGCCACAGAAGTTCCCCATGCTTTACCGCACAAGAATTTCATGATATGCACAATAGATAGCAGTCTCTTCCTCAAGTACGCACAATGTGGGCTCCATGAAAGACTTCTGTCGATTATTATGCCCAGGAAACGATGTGTCCGTGCATATTTGACACTCTGCCCATTAATGTAAACAGGGTATGGCGTCATTGGTTTGCGTGTAAACGCCATTAACGTGCACTTCACAGTTGATATATTTAGGTCTTGTTTCTGAAGGTAGGCTGTTGTGAGGGTTGCTGCCCGCTGTATTCGTGCACGCACCCGAGGGCGAGTAACTGCAGCACTCCAGAGGCAAATATCATCGGCGTATATGGATAGGCACACCGACTTTGGCAGAACCTTCACCAGACCAGTGAGGGCCACATTGAACAATGTGGGGCTTAAAACACCTCCCTGAGGTACTCCGCAGTAGGTGTAATGTCGGGCAGTTGTAACCTCATATGTTTGTACAAAGAAACCTCTGCCAGTTATATAATCTTTTATCCATTGAAACATTCGTCCACCAATGCCCATTGCTGCGAGAGAAGTGAGGATGGCATCGTGAGCTACATTATCATATGCACCCTTCACGTCAAGAAAGAGTGCCACTGATATGCGCTTGCGACTTTTTTCTTGTTGAACAAATGTCGATAAGTCAAGGACACAGTCAATGGAGGAGCGGTCCCGACGAAAGCCTGCCATGCAAGAAGGGTATTTGGTGTATCGTTCCAAGTACCACTCGAGACGAAATAGAACCATTCTTTCCATCACTTTTCCGAGGCAGCTTGCGAGGGCAATGGGGCGATACGCTGTCAAGTCCAATGGTGATTTTCCCGATTTCAAAAGTGGTATTATTCGACTTATTTTCCATTCTCGGGGAACACTGCCGCTGAGCCAGGAGTTGTTGAAGCATGTTAAAAGTTCTTTTCTGGCTTTTTGTCCAAGGTGTCCCAACGCACTATAAGTGATGCCATCAGGACCTGGCGATGACATGCGCTTAGAAGCGACTAACGCACCTTCCAGTTCTTCCATGGTGAATGGAATGTCCATTTCTGGTAATCGCGTCTCAGGAATGATCACGGCGTCGATTCTATCGTTCATAATATTCCCGGCAACTCTCGTGCAAAATTCTTCAGCCACCTCGAGTTCTGTTTTTCCATGATGGAGTGCCAAAGCTTTAAAAGGGTGCCGTTGTTGTGGAAAGGAGCGAAGACCACGAACTGTTCTCCAGATATATGACAGCGGTTTATGAGGGTCTAGAGATTCGCAGAATGCTTTCCAGCGTTCGCTCTCCAGTTTGTAAATGCGTCGTTGAATCTTTTTCTGGAGCCGCCTTGCTTCCCTCAGATCGTAAATTGATCGTGTGCGTCTGTATCGTCGTTCAGCACGCCTTCTTATAGCTCGTAATTTTTCCAGTTCGACGTCAAACTGTGATATTTTAGACGTAAATGGTAATTTACATTTGGAAGCTTGCATAGCTTCCGCTATGGTATTTTCCAGGCTGCAGGCGAGGCCTTCTTGGCAGGCGTTTTCAACACGCGATGCAAACATAGACCAGTCAGTGCCAAGTGCAACACCGGAAGAGAAATTTTTTATGATACCATCGATCGTCACGTAGGTGGGTATGTGATCACTCCCATGAGTCTCAATATCGCAAAACCACTGAACTTTGTGAGAGAAGCACCGTGACACCAATGTCAGGTCAAGGCAACTGCCATACGTGAGACCCCGCAGATATGTGGGGGTACCATCGTTCATGATGAAAAGGTCGTAATCGGAAGCGAATGTAACAATGTTCCGGCCCCTGGCATTCATCCTAGTGCTCCCCCAAAGCATGTGATGGGCGTTGAAGTCACCGGTGATGATCCAAGGCCCATCGGTTCTCATTAGTATGTCTTCTAATCTGTCGCAGTCAAATCGCGATGACGGAGATATATATCCACCAATAAGCGTGAATGAAACTGCATTCTTCTTCACACGAAGACACACGTACTGATTGTCGTCATTTGAACTTATTGGGTGGGAAAGATAAGTCAAGTCTGTGCGAATGTAAACAATTACTTTGCTTCGTTCTTTGCAAGCGGCTGAACAAAAAGCTTCATAACCGGACAATCTATAAGGCGGTGATACGTTTGGTTCACATATGGCAAGTATAGGGAATTGATTGGCCCGAACGAATTGGCGAAAGTCCGAGATACGGGACTTCATGCCTCTGGCATTCCACTCAAAAATCGACGCACTTTTAACTTCAGTGCGGAAGATGAGATTTTCTTGAGCCATTGTGCTTATACGAAGTTATCAAGAACTGTATTCAGTGCATCCAGTATTTGCAGTGCACTCTTAGCAGACGGAGATTAATGATTGCACGATAGCAATTAATGATTGCACGATTGCAGCCACTTGCCTGTCTTGGTTGGAAAGATCTCGAACCGGGACGATTGCAGTCACTTGCCTGTCTTGGTTGGAAAGATCTCGAACCGGGAGCGTGGACTGGCCGTCATGAAGCTCCTTCGGTTCGCTTGATGCTGCTTCCCTTTGAAGTGCAGGCCACTCTGTCGCAGTTAGGGTATGCTCACTGGCTTTGTCCTTTACAGCCTTTCCCACGGCATGTGGTCTGGGAGGCAAAGGAGGTGGTACTGATGAGGGATCACGCAAACGTGTCGACGAGGTAGCGGGTGTCCTCAAAGACCGACGTCGACGTGAACGACGCCTTCTGACTTTAGCTGCGGCTTCTCGATGAGATGAGTGATCGCGCACCATCTCCTTCAAGATGGCAATTTCCTTCTGAATCCGCGGGCAGTCCTTCGATGTGGCTTCATGGGATCCATTGCAATTAGAGCATTTCTTGACAGTTGCGACGCACTTATCCGCTTCATGGTGCTCGGCGCAGCGGTGGCATACCACCGAATTCTCGCAGACGCTGCTCACATGTCCAAGTTTCATGCATTTACGGCACTGGAGAGGCTTTGTAATGAAAGGCCGCACAGCATGCCTGAAGTACCCCACCTTCACATGAGAGGGGAGTGATGTGCTCTTAAACGCAATCTTCACACAGCGAGACTTGCCTAGCCGGGTGACATCAACAAAATGATAGATGGACTGATTTTGTAAGCAGAATCTACAATAAGGAGTGGTTTCGTTATACATTGTTATGGAGTCGAGGACAGTGGTATTATATAACTTTAGCGGTACAATATTTACGAAAGAATAAAAAATAAAAAAGGTACAGTACAAAATGTTTAATGTACACTTGGAAGAAGCAGCAGCTTAAAAGAAAGCTTTCACTTTCTTGTGTGAGTCGGTGGAGTACAGGTGTCTGTTGTCGGTCAAATTCATTTTGCTAAATGGGCTGATACTAACTGCCTGAATTTCGAATTGTCACGTTGATGTACTATTGATTCGGGAAGCGAGTTCCATTCCTCTATGGCCAAAGGCAAGAAAGACTTGTTGAATGCGGTTGTAGAGCCAGTTATTGTTCAGTAGCGTTATTGTTATTCTGACGAGTGTGCCCTTGTGTGCACGTGTGCCCCCCCCCCCCCCCAGATGCCAATATCTGGTTAACCTCCCGGCCTTTCTCTCTCTCTCTCTCTCTCTCTCTCTTCTGTTACACTCGCAGAATACTGCGTGACGCCGGCGTGTGTGACGGTGGCCAGCTCTATCCTGAACGCCATGGACCCGGAGATGGACCCGTGCGAGGACTTCTACCAGTACTCGTGCGGTGGCTGGATCAAGGCGAACCCGCTGCCCGACGGGAAGTCCATCTGGGGAACATTCGGAAAGCTCTGGCAGGAGAACCAGCTCGTCATGAAGAACGTGCTAGGTGCGTCACATCTCTTTATAACCTGCGTGTGGTAAAAAAAAAATAAATGACTTGTGCCGAACCTCTTTCAAGACCAACTCCGGCGATTTTTCGACCGTGTCGGGGTAATGGTGCTTACATGCTCCTGAGGCACTCTTGTCACGAGCCCGAGAGCTGAAATGCTCAGCAGTTCGAAAAATACATTTAATAAGCGAAGAAGCGCAACAGCGAAACTGAAACCCGACTGAGCGCGTTGCCTACGTATGGCGTACTATTTGGTAAGAACCGGAAGTCGTATACTGATCCCGCCGGCGCAGAGAATGAAAGCTGTGAAAGCAGAGACGAGCACGCCGAGCCGAGCCAGCCAAACACCCCAGAGGAAGGAACAAAGCTTTCTCGGGCCAAACACCTCCGCCGTCGCCTTGTGACCCGCGCAGTAAACGCTGCAGAGACCAAGGTTAGCGATGCCATCGGCCGCATCACTTCCGTTGACACACCAAACATGACGTGACACAGACAGTGTTGCCAATCATTCTGGCAAGCCGTGTGAGCGCTCTGAGGCAATCTTTAAAATTCATTTGCAAATAATCAGCGCATCTCTCAAGCATGTCCGTTGGCATAAATTACGGAAAGGTGCAAAGGAACGCACCCAGCAAATTTCGTTGAGATTCATTGACCTCGAAAAATCATCGGAGTTAAGCGTGGTAGTGCTCGAAGCGGCTCGAAGCGCTTAATGTAACGCGTCAAATAAATAGTGACAAATATTCATTATTCTGATGAGACAACGTAGTTCGCGTTAGGAAATAGTATCGAACAGCTGGTCAACTCTGGCCAACTTTAGCCTGTGTTGTTACTATGCAAGTTAATACGCAGACTTCGAACACACTTTGTGCTATTTTCAAAATGGTATATTGTTCTACTGTATATCTACTCATGACTATAGATTTACAGGATAGTCTCAGACTCAGAGAATTCACTTTTCTTATCTTAGCTCAGTCGAGGTATCGTCTCGAAACACTTGGCTACACGCGTAGGTTGCGTCGGTGCTAGGGTGAACACTCTGCTGAATTAGGGGCATAAATCTTTGAGTATTGTGAGCATATCTTTGAGGCTAGCGACTCGTCTATAGAGCCCACGTGGACGCTCTGGAATAACCAGCCTCATTTGTCGCTCTGAAGTAGAAATTTATCATGTTTCCCGAGAATGTGATTTACGTTAGCCGTTGACGTTGAGAATGTGAGGATAAGGTTCGTTCGTGATTCCGGGATTGTGGAATTGTGGTCAATGAACTCACGATTGTCAAGATTACCAGCATTTTTATTGCATTTTTAGTTCCAGACGGAGCGTACCGTTGGTGTATACCATTAAAAGAAACAAAAATCGACTAGCTCAGAAGCCCCAATTTACGTCCCTCATAATATGATTTTCATTAAAACAAAAAGGCACGTATATATATATATATATATATATATATATATATATATATATATATATATATATATATATATATATATATATATATATATATATATATATATCCTTATAGGGAAGACGCACGTACGAAGTGATTTTATTGACGTTTCGGCCGCGGGTCCGGCCTTCATCAGAATCAGCTCGTCATGAAGAACGTGCTTGGTGCGTCACTTCTCTTTATAACCTGCGTGTGGTAAAAAAAAAATAAATGACTTGTGCCGAACCTCTTTCAAGACCAACTCCGGCGATTTTTCGGCCATGTCAGGGTAATGATATTTATATGCTCCTGAGGCACTCTTGTCACGAGCCCGAGAGCTGAAATGCTCAGCAGTTCGAAAAATACTTTTAATAAGCGAAGAAGCGGTGTTAGAAGCGGTGTTTCGGCCGCGGGTCCGGCCTTCATCATTCTGATGAAGGCTGCACCCACGGCCGAAACGTCAATAAGATCACTTCGTACGTGCGTCTTTTCCCTATAAGGATAATCTTACCCGGACCCGGCATCACTTTTGTTTTTGGTATATATATATTATATATATATATATATATATATATATATATATATATATATATATATATATATATATATATATATATATATATATTATATATATATATGCGTATACGTTCACTGATGCTGATGTGTGCACGTTTTGATTGTGTTTACCGCACGTAACTTCGGTGCTAGCTCTGTGTGGACATTATGGAAACGAGCGGATACTAACTCGCATTACGTTAAACACTCGCTGCGTTAACTGTTGTAATAGATGCGTTTCTGCTTGTCATCAGTCATTTGCACCGAAGCATAAATAATTTTAAAGCTCAGCAACGAATGAATGAATGATATATACTAGGCTGCGTGCGACCGATGTCCCCTGGGTGCTTCATTCGCGTGCACTAGAATAAAGCCTGTTGGTGAAAAGTAATCCAGAGCATACGGTGCGCGTCAAGATCACATAGTGGTTATGTCACGAAAAAATGCAGTGTGCTTTGTAAATTCCAGTGTGGTCGGCGAAACCCTATTGCCATTCGACTGACTGCGCCGTGTCTTTTTTTTCTAACACTCTCTCAGCAATCACGTGATTGCAGAAAGAGTGTGAGGGGTAGAGGCCACAGCTGGCACCGTTCCAGGTACGGACGGACGGACACGAGCGCTAGGCATTAAAGGTTTTAGTCTTAAAACACCGAAGTATTGTTTGTATTTTTTATCATGCGATATGACTGACACTGTTTATTTGCTCACATCAGCGGATGCGAGCAGTGTCGTGGCACAGCCTTTTTATGGTGTTATGTCTTTTTTTCTACGGGCACACATCTGTAGAACTAAGGAACGACTAATCAAAGCCTCCTGTTTGTAGTTTCACATCAAGATCATGCTAGCGACGATGTATTGAAGCTATATACGACGCGAGAATTCTCGTAATAGTGTATAGTTTGCAGGGCAACGTTCCTGGTTGTTTGATCGCCGTTTTCTTCCGGGCCTGCGTGTTTTTTACAGAGGACGAGAAAACGGAGCTGAAGAGCGAAGCCGAGAAGAAAGCCCGCATCTACTACTACTCATGCCTCGACAAGAACGACACCGTTGAAAGCCTCGGTTCTAAGCCAATCGTCAACCTCCTGGACATCGTGAGTTGAGAGCCCATAGCTTCCCCACACATATATATGCGTGTGGAAGCCATGCCTTCCATGCCCCACCGCGGTGGTCTAGTGGCTAAGGTACTCGGCTGCTGACCCGCAGGGCGCGGGTTCAAATCCCGGCTGCGGCGGCTGCATTTCCGATGGAGGCGGAAATGTTGTAGACCCGTGTGCTCAGATTTGGGTGCACGTTAAAGAACCCCAGGTGGTCTAAATTTCCGGAGCCCTCCACTACGGCGTCTCTCATAATCATATAGTGGTTTTGGGACGTTAAACCCCACATATCAATCATCAAGCCATGCCTTCCTGTTGACACTCCCGGAAATTCTTCTGTGGGATCTGTGTGCAGTGCGCGCGCGGGTGGGCTAGAGTTCAAATCCACCATATACTCTGTAAACATTTCGGAAAGCATTCACAGGGGGTAATCGTGATTCGCAGACAACTCCAAGGAATTGTCCACCTGAGAGCTATAAGGTCTTTTTCGTCCAACGCTCTAAAGGAACCGCTCATGGTACCGACTTTTTTAGTTGCTATTCTGAGTGTTTTTTTTTTTAGGTGTAGATGGCACTTGGGGTGCTTGTGCAATATAATAATAATAGCTCACAGCACACTCAGAGACACGGACGAAGAAGGGAAATACGAAAGCGGTCAAAACCTTGTCCGTTCAAAAACCTTGTTGCACTGCTTGTGCACTGGCTGACTGAGAAACGCACCTTACATGAATGTAATGACACCGTGCGAAGTGCATTAATATGGTGCACCGATGAGAACGATATGAGCGAAGTTAACAGCGCATGTGCTATGGCAGATGGCACGTGGATCTGGTTGCTTCCAACCATGTGAATCCAGCAGATGATGAAACTAAGGAGAGCAATAATTGACGGGATTCGAAGAATATCAAAACGAGATGGCAGTGTAACCAAACCGTACACAGCACGTTTACCAAAAAACCTGATTACAACAAAGCCGCTATACTAGTAGGTGGCTGCTTGTCGTCTGCCCTTACATTATATCGTTTGTAACACACTGCAGCCTCGAATGGTTATCGTAAGATATAAGAGGACGGGGAAGAGTAAAAAATGTACATGGTGCGAAAAAAAAACAAGGTGTAATTGAGTATCACTCGTTATCAACATAAAACAGGAATCCGGCAAAGGATGAAGATCGAGCGTTTTGGGGTAAAGAACTTTGCAGTTGTATATCGATCACAGGCAACGCGTCAGTAAACCCCGATCACTAAATATCATCGTCACTGTGTTTACAATGGCACTTGTATGTGAAAACTCCCTAAAAGTCCTGCATACTCCACGGCGGAGGTAGACACTAACTTGGTCAACTAGTATTGATTGCAGCTATGCGCGGAATTTCTGTTCGTTCTAGCATCCGTGAAGCATCTTGATAAACCAGAATGCAAATATGTGGTCATTATAACCTTTGTAGCCTGCTCCGCGCATGTCCATTAACATTGCCCTTTTCAGAACACACTGTTCTTTCCGCTGGCCTTATCCCAGTGATTTCCCCGCTACCAAGCCTCGTTGCAACACGAGTACCGTGGGTAGCACAATAAGCCTGCGTAAGCATATTGCTGTAGCAGACGGTTCGTTTTGATTGGATGTGCCCAGCACACATAGAAAAAACGACGACGCTATAGAAGCTTATAAAAGCACAAGCACTCTTAAGTTGACGTTGTGGCTGTGCCAATCAATAGCCTCTCAATTTGTATGCGGCACTTTAGTAGCCCGACCGCCCAAAGTCAAGTGTGTCGTTTCTCAGGCAAAGGTTCAGCGACCCGATAGGGACGAAGATGGCCGTCGAAACTGAGCCGTCGCCATGGCAACGAAAAGAAGCCACTCGATCGTCGATAAAAGTGGGACGCACTTCAAACAGAGCGGAATTGCGATGCGCCACGAGTCGGGGCTTCTGGCGCCTTTTGTGCGCAGTTATTATGCAAAGGTGCCCCGCGGCCGTAACAGATACAATGGCTAATTTGCAAGAAATCGTCGGAGCGCGGCCTCATTCGTAATGATGAGGCACATTTGTCGGTGAGACAATGAGCACGGCGCGTGGTCACTTTGAATGTGTGCGATCTGGAGCACGTCGTGGGTTCTTAAATATTCCGAGGAGCGACGCACCATCGGAAGCATGTTTTTTTTTTGCCGTCTGTAAATTCACGTGGCCTCTTATTCATTTGCGTAAGACTTCTCGAAAGTGAAATACTTCTTCCTCCTTTTCTCAATCGATTGTCCAACTCCCCGTTGCCCCCGGTCCACCGCGGTGGTCCGGTGGTTTCGGTGATCGGCTGCTGACCTGGTTGCGGGTTCAACCCCGGTCGGGGCGGTCACCTTTCGGTGGAGGCGAAGTACAACACCGCTTTGGCTGCGAGATGGAGCAGAGTCGCCGCCTGGCGGCAACTGGACGAAATAGTAAAGTGTGGATTGCTCCTTGCGTCGTCTGCTAGCCACGTCGTGTTTCTATGTGCACGTACGTCATGCACGTCCTCAAAGTGTGGTTTGTCCGGTACGTCATGCCAGCACGAGCGTAACTGTTTATGCGTATGCTTGAAACGAATTACGAAAGCATCTGGTCTTTCTCGGCTGCTAATGCATTGTAATAAGATCGGCGAGTGCAACATTCTAGATTGCTGTTTATTGTCACCGTATACCCTCCATTTACCGGAATAATTTCAGAGTGGGTGCCGCTTTCTGTTTAAAGCACATCGCAAAATGCTCTTGGCATCCTCCCAAACATAAGGACTATTAAAAGCTGCGTGAATACAGCGTAACATAGCGATTCGGTTGTTAAAATTAAAAAAAAACAAACAGGCTCTAGGTCATGCACTTGCGCGCTATTGGTCGGGGTTGTTGCGTAGGACGGGGACGCCAACACGGCCTCGAAGGCGCCACTGCTTTCAACTCCGCCGGGAAGGTCACCAGCCGTTTGGTAGCGTATGTTTATCAGCTCGCGACTGCTTCTGCGCAGAGCTGATAAGACGAGCGGACGAGACGACGGTGAGTTAAAACAAGGTTTATGTACAGCATATTTACAGAGGCGTTACAATTTCGGCACTGGGGCCGACAGAGACTCGAAGAGCCGAGCTCTCTTCTCTAACACATAGGTCAGCCCTTTGCCTAAGATCGCTGACTCAAACACATGTCGGCCCTCCGACACGGGGACTCCTCTCTCTAGGACTGCCGATCGCGACGCGCCGCAGGGCTTCTTTTATTTACACCGGGTCCAACCAAAGTGCCCAATCAGAAGCGCCGCGGGTCGTCCGGGCAGATTCCGCCATGGGGGGTCGCCGCGCCATGCGTCAGACCACCCGCACGAGAACGCCGGCTCGCTGTCACGTGCGCCGATGACTCAATGCACTGTGGGCGAGAGAGGCGCCGCGCATGTTCACGCCGTTGAGATGTTCGCGTCGGGCAGACGGCGGGCTGGCCTTGACCCAGATTGCCTTTTCAGAGGCACGGTCGTTTGACGAGGACTCGCTGGCATAACAGCACCCCCGCCGCCAGACAATGCACCGGAAAGACGAGCTGCTTCCACGGGGCTCGGATGTCAGGTGCGCTCGTTCGCCAGGTCTCTCCAGGTTCGCCTCCAGGGCCATAGGGAGAATACAGCTCCAAACTGTTCCGGGAACACATCCCAATTTTGACGACGGATCCCAGCTCCACTGGCTTGTCGCCACAACTTGTCGACCAGCTTCACTCGTCTCTTCTGACCATCTTCGGTTTCAGCACTTGTCGATGGTTCTGCAACTTGCTAAGAACGGTTCGACAACAGACAACACACGACACACGCAAGTGCCGGTCACCCGACAGAACACCAGACAAAGTATAGTACAACATATACCTATCTACGTGTTTATCGGAATTTTGTTCCCTCTACATCAAGAGGCACATGTGGGACAAAAGACCCTTAAAATGACAACTCAATTTTTTTTTCCCACGTACAACAACGGTAACGGATTAGAATACCACAAATTTGGCCCCTTTAGATCACTCTGGAACGAGAGCGCTCAGCCCAGGTCGTGATTGAGGTCAAAATTTTGCCCCGAATCGCCAGCCAGAAACCGAAGGGTTGAGAAGTTACTAGCTGGAACGCACTGCTCAATGCACCTGCATTAGCGTTTACCTTTTCCTTTTTTTTTTCTTTAGCGAACGTCAAAGTTGCGCTGTGGAGCAACATGCCCCACTTCAGTAACTGGCCACTTTTAGGCGACGATACCTATGCGGCACCAAGAGCGGCTCACACTTTCGACGTTGTACAGGGGAACAACGATACGGCTTGCTACTGATTGACTCCTCACCGCTTAGCTCGATATCGTGTTCGACCACCGTCGCGTCTCCGGGACGGTCCCGACAACACATACCCAACTCGGAAACAATCTTTCTCAGGTTCTCTTTCTCAGGTCCTTCTTCACTTAAGCTAGGCTCTAGGTTTATCTGCTCCCGGATTACTTTCGATCCCCCTTCGATTACCTCACTAGAACTCAAAATTTCTGCTTCCTCTTCCTCTGAAGCATTCAACAACAGATTTACGACCGCTTGATGTTGAACGCATGGTTTCATCAAGTTGTAAATTTTGTCCGGCCGCCTTCCTAATTTCACTTCATAATTTGTATCGCAAGGCTTCGATATACTTTGGCGGCCCTTCCCAATCAACCTCAAGCTTGTTCCTTTTGGATGGCTGCAGTAGCATTACCTGACTCCCTACTTCAAAAGCACGCTTCTTCACCGATTCCTCGTAGTGCTCCTTCGACAGCACTTTTGCCGCGTTTTTCTGGCTTTCCACTCGCGCTTCAATTTGGCTCTCCACTAGCGCTTCAATCGAGAAATCCTCACGTTGCTCTCCAATGAGCGTCTCTCGATCAACTCTCGGCAGCTCGCTCCAACTTTCCGCTACAGGCGAGAGCGTTGCAACCCTCTCGCTCTGACTCAATGGCGCCATGTCGTCTCCCCTTTCTCCGGAAACCGCGCAGCTAGGTTCGG